TCATTATTATCAGGGCCGGCGAGAACTTTTATGACTCCCGGGGCATAGCAGCAAGTAGGCGCTCCTAAGCATGTATATTTTAAAATTAAAAGCATGTTCAGTTATACAAGTTAATGACTGTTTTTTTAATTTCTTTAACTGCTAGTAAACATTCATATTTTCAAGAAATGCATCTGGTTTAAGAACACTTATGCAAGACATTCACTTATTAGGATTAATAAACAGATTCTTTGAAATTAATATCGAAAACACTCTTTCTTGCATTTTTACAACCTTAATTCGAATTAGAATGCATATAGATTGGACAATAGGCTTTCGACCCTTTAATTATATTTTGTTAAGAAAGGTTAAAGTGTTTGCACAAATGAAGTTTCCTTCAAACATAAAGATGATTCAAAAATTTTACATTATTACAGTAGAAAATATTTTCTAAGACATTTTATTAAACTACAGACATATACAAATATTAAAACATGTAATTTTTAAAATATTTAATATGACAAAAAAATTCGGAAAAAGGCACTTTTTTCTGAACGCAAATTCTGTAAAGGTCGAGTTTAAAGCTCTCTTTGAAAAAATAAGAAAAATAACTAATTCAGCTCGAACTCATGACGAAAACCACAAAGCTGAATGCCTATTGTGTTTATAAAAGGCCAATAGAGTGCTGAAAGCATTTTTGATTGACAAAGAAAACGTCATGAGGGGCAACAAGTGGAACTACCTCAACTATTTCAGTTTGAAACAATAATTGTTAGGCCCCAAACAAGAGGACAACAATACAACTTCCTGATTTCTTCCATTGGAAGATTGAAATTAAAGGAAAAACACCCACTAGAGATGGAAAAAAATGAAGAACAAAGCTCTGATAGGCGTTGCTCAAAATGTCTTTCTTTAATTGGTAGGGGTCTACCTTATCCATGCTCTACTGCTCAGTTTCGTGAAAATTTACGAATTTTGGCTGCAGGTGATTGCACAGTTGCAGAATGAGTGGCTTCAAGCATTGAACATAAAAGCTCAGGGCTTTCATGGAGGACAATTTGTTGGAAATGATTGTCATAAACTGCTTAAAAACCTCGACATTTTGAAAACTCTGGCAGAAAAAAATGCTGCCTTGCAAGTCTCACAAAGCTGTGTCAGCATGTTTTGGCAACAAGTTGAATGAAAGCTTTGCAGAAAAAATTGATGCTTTCAGCAGCTCCTTTCTAGCTCTACCGTGTGGGAGTGTGACACCCAAGGTGCACAAGGTTTTTTTCCACGTAAAAGACTTTGTCTTTTAAAACAAATCTTCACTCGGAATTTATAGTGAACAGACAACAGAAGCCATGCACCATTATTTCAATACTCATTGGACAAGATACAAGCGCCCCATTGGTCATCCAGAATATGGACAGAGGTTTGTTCACTGTCTTGTGGACTTCAACAGCAAGAATTTTTGATAAAACTAGTCATGGTGAAGAGAAAGTTAAAGAAAATCCAAAAATTTCTTTTTGGAATTGAATTTACATGCAGTTTTGTTTCCGAATCTGAATTATTTTCTTGAATACTTAGGTTTTGAAAACTTTATTGGTTCATAGAAAAGTTTTATATTTAAAAAATACTGTAAAAATGCAAAAATTTTTGAATGCTGTCATTTTACATTTCGGTGCAATAAATAATAAAATTCAAGATTGTTTTTCTTTCTCGAACGTAATAGGATGATTTGATTTTTGGTATTTCTGGAATCCCCAGGTCATAAGCTTTCACAGGCATATGGCGGTTTCTCCGGGAACAGACTTGACACTTAATCTGGTTTCAGGAGGATGGTGCAAATAGCAGTGATGCAAGAACTGATCCTTAAGGGATGCCACTCGTCAGCCGTTTTCACTGAGGCGTTTATTCTCCAAATATTACTAATTGTTGTCCATTAGTTAGCCAACTAGAATTACAGTTTAATAGTTGGCATTAAATATCAAATGACATTGTGTTGAACGCTTTGGCAAAGTTATTTTAAATTATGTCCATGGTAAACTTCTTTCTTTAAATTATTACAAGATTTAATCAGGTTTGTAAGCAATTTTTGTGATGTACGAATGCTGAGGCTTTGATATTAGATTATGCACAGTCTTTCTAATCTAAGATAATTCTCTCCGGCACCCAGCACAGTATAGGCGCCCGGGACAAGTATGCCCCTTTTTCCCCTCCCTCTCGGCGGCCCTGATTATTATATACCAAAAATTTAAAAAATCATATTAATAAAATATAAAATAAAATGAGTAAAATTAAATAAATTAGAATAATAAATGAATGAATGAATAGAGCAATAATTGTTCTTGTATAGTAGTTATTATTATTAAATACAAGTTATTGTAATTTATTAAAGTACAAATATTTATCTAAATAATGAAATTATTTACCTAAATTAATAAACATTTTTAAAAGAATACTTCTACAAAATTTTTAAATAAATTGATATCTAATAATTTTTTTTTAACCTACTTTGGCATTTTTGCAAATTGCATTTATGAAATTTTTTACTTATTCCATTACAATTTAGACCACCATACTTAGGACTTGGATTTGAACAACTGCGGAATTTTGATTTAACACCCCCATTACACGGTTGACTGCATGCTGACCAAGAAGACCAAAATGACCATTGCCCTTTTACTTAAAATTAAAATATATATTTAAACTTAATTTTTCTGTACTATTAGTAAAGTAAAAACTAAGGAAATAAAGTTTTATATATATAAAAATAATATCAATGAGCTTATAACCTGGACAAATTGTATTATTTTCACAGCTATTGTTGTAAGCAATGATACCAGTACAACCTCTACCATGAAATAATGGGTAAGGATTGTCACAATTTCTTTTAATAGTTTTAACTTCATTACCACATGATTTAAAACATTTTGAATCTGACCAGGTTCCCCACATTCCATCCACTTAAAAATACCAGATAAAATATTTTATATTCAAATAATTTTATTATTTAATTTAGTGTGCCTTTGTGTATGTGTGTGTGTGTTTATGTGTGTGTGTGTGTGTGTGTGCGTGTGTGTGTGTGTGTGTGTGTGTGTGTGTGTGTGTGTGTGTGTGAGTATATATATTAGGGTGGTTTTTTTTTCAATTTTTTTTAAAAAACTAGGCACAACCTATAAATGTGTGCAAAATAATAAAATAACACTAGGTTGAAGATTTTTTTGAATAAAAAATAATTTAAGGGGTCACCCAAGACCCTTGAATTATTAATGGGTCCCTAATATAAAAAAAAAAAAAGATTTAAAAAAGTAAGTCAACCTGGTACTCAAATGAAGCGAAATTATATAAAAATTTCAAAAATAATTATAATGAAAAAAAATAATTATTTTAGGTGTTGTTGCATAAAAAATACTATTTTTTAACAAAAATTGAAAAAAGTTTTTTTTTAAAGTTTTTCATGATAATATTGATAACTAAGTTGAAAAAATTATTTTTGTTCAAAATAATAATTATTATTAAAATTTTTATATAATCTTGCTTCAATTGAGTACCAGGTTAAACTATTTTAGAAAAACTTTTTTTTTCAAATATGAGAGACCCGTTAAATATACAAGGGTCTTGGGGGACCCCTTAAAATATTATTAGAGTGATTTTTTTTTCAACTTTTTTTTAAAAAACTAGGCACAACCTATAAATGTATGCAAAATAAAAAACTAGGCACAAACCTATATTAAAAAAAAAAGGATTTAAAAAATTTGATAAATGTTTTTTGCTAATTTCTAACTGCACTTTTCTTTAAAAACATTAAGCTCTTATTTTGAAGAAGTTTTGTAGAACACAAAAAGAGAATTTACATAGACACGCACACATAGACATGTTTGTGTGTGCGCATCTTTTTTTTGTAACTTGTAAACAATACAATTGATTAAAAAAATAAAGTTTACCACAACAAATGTTTGTTTGTCCTATTGTCTTTTTATTCTTTTCTGGTAAACTTCTTTATCACTGGCTTTTTTCGTTTCATTGTTTCAATCTTGTCATAATGTCCCTCCTGTATGTCAGTCACTAGTGTATATGGTTACGTATGGGTACATTTGGTAAGACACATTCAATATAAGTTCTTTTATTTTTACTTTAGTTTTTCCACATAAAACGCTTTCTACTTTTGCCCAAAGAGTTTTTACTATATAACAAAGCAATTTCTTCCCATTAATTAATGGTTGCTAAAATAATAATTACTAGTTCCAAATATTTTTTTTCATTGAGAAAGAACTTATGGAACTAGATCATTGGCAAGGCTTAAATAATTATTCTTGTATAATTTTTTTGTTATTTTATTAAAAACCTTTATGAATATCTGCTTTATTTATAGGGAGCTCACTGGGAATAAAGTCCTATTCAAACCAATACAATAAGAAACCTTAAAAAAAATATTGTCTACTCTTAGGTTTTTACATAACTTACGAGTTACTCAAATATTAATTCAATAACAAAAAACTTAAGACTTTTATATTTAAAATGTTATTTTACAGTTGAGTCTCAACTTTTATGTTATTTTAATCAACCGTAAAACAACATAAAAGTCTGACATATTTATTTTAAACATATTTATTTTTATTTTGCTTTTATAACATCTGAATATAAAGAGGTTTTCTACTTAAAAAGTGGTCTATAACAAGATCACCTTAAAATCTAATTTTATAAATGAATACATACTTTTTCCAATTAAAAGAAATAAAAATTTGCAATAAAAGCACATTTTTAATTAGTTTTTTTTTCATCATTTTTCATTTTTATCTTTTTCATAATAAATTAAATCTTTTTAAATGTAATATATATATATATATATTTTTTAATATATAAAAAATAATTTAATGTATAAAAAGAAGAGAAATATTTGCTGATACCTGGACAGTTTCCTATATCACAATTTAGATCTCTAAAAACTGAACTTGTTTTTGTTTCTGAAATTAAATAGCTTCTTCTGTATCCTTCACCGCAAGATGCAGAGAATTCACTCCAGACAGCCCATTTAACTAAAATATTAAATCTAAATAAAAAACTACTATTTTAGATTGATTTACACAATAATTGACTTTTTCTTGCAAAATGTCGGGCATCATAGTGTATTTATCTAGTCGGAGTGACATCATGCCAAATTGGGAAATATTTTCCAAAAATCTTGAATAAAGGAAAAACAAACAAACTTATCTACAGCGTTTTAATCATTTTTCATGACAAAAAGATGCCCAAAAATTGTTGTGTATCTTGGTTGCACAACTAGTTGTAAAAAAAAAAAAAAACAGAACTTAAATCTTAAGTTTTAAGAATGGTACGGTAATAAGAAAATGATTAAAGGTAACAATATGTGCTGCAGATAGCACTTCGTCAAGCAAACTGTGGTCTCCTAAATCTTCAAATGTTTTGTTTGTTCAGCACACTGTATTACTAGTAAGCATCGTTTCTTAAACTTTTTGTTGTATATACTAAATAAATAACAATAAATACTAGTTTAAAAATTTTAGGTAAACTCTTTGAGAAACATTCCAACTCAGTTCTTTCAGCTTTCAATATTGCAACAATAATTTTTTCTCAACTCAACAAAGGAATCTCTCCTCAACTCCAAAAGAAGTTCTCCTCAACTCCTCTCCTCAACTCCAAAATAAGTTCTCCTCAACTCAACAACAACAAAAGAAATGTCAATAATCACAAATTTAACCAAGTCAATAGTAGGATAACTAGACAAAGTAAATATTGTTGCCTGATTTAAATCACTTTTTTATATTGCTTTGACATTGTTGAACTTTCCCATTTTCTTTAAAAATAAATGTTCCTGCATACAAAAAATTGAAACTATATGCTCAATCAATTAGTGGTGGAGTTGATTTTGTCATTAAAAAAAAAAAAGGATAAGTAAGGAATGTAAGTGAAAAAACTAATTATTTAATTTAGTTATTTATGATTTAAACTATTGTATACAATAATAATATTTATTGTTATTTATAGTAGAGGTTGTATATGTTTTAAAACTACTTTAATAAATTTTCATAAAATAAAGAAATTTATTTTATACTTAACAGAAAATGATACCCAAGTTAGTACTAAAGAGTATTTGCAACAATATGATGTCATTGCTCCTGTAGGGTAAACTGGGGTAAAGTAAACTAGGGGTAAAGTGAGCTATCTTTTTATATTAAAAATTCACCTTTAAAAAACTTTTTATTTAAAAAAATCACTTTTTTTAAATAAAAAAGAAGAACAATCTTCCAGTTATAGTAAGGGTTAATTTTAATTTAATCAATTTTAATTTAATTTCTTTTTTATTTTTTTTACATTTTGCATTGTTGCATAGTTTTAAAAAAATTTTTTTCCCAGAAATTAGTAATTCTCTGTAACAATGTTAATTTAGAACAATGTCCCATCATTGTAAGTAAAAAAGGTATCAATTCTTTTAAACTTAAAATCAAGTTATCCTTTTTCATTTTTTGGTATTATCTTTTATTTGCAAAAGTTATACATTTTTTAAAAACATTTATTAGAATTCAGTGTTCCAATATTTAATGAACATGTTCCCATTCCAAGATTCTAGTAAGAGTTATATAGAAGGCATTGGTTAATTTAAACACAATGTTTTATGAATTTTTTTTTCTATTTTTAAGAAAAGACTGTTGCTGTAAACATCAATATTCAGCAAAGTCTTTTGAACTCAAAAATTAGTTTAATTTAGAAAATTAATTTGCTATAATACTGTACTTAATGAGTTTTACTTTCAAACATTGATTTGTTAACATAAATTGTGTTCATAAATAAAAGTAATACAAACTTAAAAAGGTTACGAATAAAATTTTTTTTCTGTTAAACAAAAACACTTCTCCTTACTAAAAAGAAATAATGATGTTTTATTGTAAAAAAACAAATCTGTGATGGAAATGATCTTAAAATATTAACATTTTTGTGTAATGAACTAGTTTGCAGAAAAAGGAAATAATTATTTCTTTAAACAGTATTGAAAAACCATTTTACAATCTTTCAAAGTTAAACTTTTGATTTTCCAATTTTAAAATAAAATGAAGCCATTTTTATTATAAAATTTTTTATTAAAAAAGAAAACTTATTCAAATATATGTATTTTACAATGCGGTCAAAATGTTTTTTACAACAATTTCATGTAAATAAACACTGCATAAATAAAATCATAAAACATTTTAAAGATTCAGTTAAAAATTTTTTTTGTTAAATACAAATTGCTGGATGCATAAACACACACACATATATATTTACATATATATATATATATATATATATATATATATATATATATATATATATATATATATATATATATATATATATATATACATATATATATATATATACATATATACATATATACATATATATATATATAAATATATATATATATATATATATATATATATATATATATATACATATATATATATACATATATACTTATATACATAATATATATATATATATATATATATATATATATATATATATATATATATATATATATATATATATATATATATATATATATATATATATATATATATATACACATATATATATATATATATATATATATATATATATATATATATATATATATATATATATATATATATATACATATACATATACATATACATATATTTTATTCATTTTACATGTTTCGTCAACAAAGACTCATCAGAAATGAATGATCAAATTAGTAAAACTTAAATTTGTACCAAAAAAATTTAATTACAGGAAGTTGCAAATGTTTTAACTACTGTAAATTTTCACACATTTGTGGAATTTGCTGACACCATTATAAAAATAATTTTTTAGAAATGATTATTTATGCTTTTTTTTTTTTATAAAAATATTTTTAAAAAAAGGGGGGATTTAATGTAACTATTATTTGAGCTCACTTATTTTTATTGTTTTTTAGGAGAAACTTATTTTCGTGCCTGCATTTAGAAAACAATTCCGATTTTTCGTTTAACAAACATTCTTGGTTTGCATGTGTAATTATTTGAAGTTTTTCTTGTAGACATAGTATGCATTTTTTGGAAATATTTTTGTATGCAGGGGCTGTTTTAAGGATGGACCAATTCAGTTTAAAATCATCAATATTTTTATCTTTTAGTTCCCATATATATTTTGACAGCATGGTGTCTTTTGAAAATTTTTATTTTTAAAAGATTGCTTATGATTGGCAGAACCTTTTTTCCATTCACCCTCTGTTATGCCAATATATTGTTTATCGGGTACATTCTTAGAGGAAAAAACACATTTACATACCACATTTTTTGATAAACAACTTCCACCCATTGGACAATTATTTTTTTGTTTACTATTACAATTTTCTGTAGTTTTTTTCATTTAGGATTTCTTTTTTATTTAACAAAGCGTTATTGTGACTTTTTCTAATTCTTTCCATATTTTTTGTGCAACTGTAGCTAACTTTAATTGTATTTCGATTAAAAATTAAGTAATTTATTAGAGGGAGGGAAATGCTTATTGACCAATTTTTAAAAAAATTTTCCTATGTTAGTGGAAACATTTTTGCTATATGGGGGGTTGAACCAAATTACATTTCTAGTTCTATTCCGTTTTTTTGTATTCTTTTTTTCAGGGTCAAATTTTAGTTCAAAATTTTCAAAACCACTATTTTTGAGGGCATCTTCAAATATTCATTTGGAGGAATTAAATACATTTTCATTAGAGGAGTTTTGGTTTAACCTGTTATTAATTGAAATCAGGATTTGTTTTAGAATTTGTGGTGGATGATTTGAGTTAATATTAATATATAATAATTCATCGCTTGGTTTTTTGAAAGGCTTATATGAATTTTCAGAGAGGTTAAATGTGACATCAAGAAAGTTCACAATTTTTAAATTTATGTTTATTTCAATTTGAAAGCAAATGTTTTTAAAAATTTTTATATCTTTTCGAATCTTATCTAGCTGTGGACCAGATTTTTTACGCATTACTATTAAACCATCGTCACGATAAAGGCCTAAATCATTTATATTGATTATTTTACTTAATAAATCTAAAATGTATAGTTCAACAAACTCACAAATTTCTGCTCCATCATAACTGCCCATTGTCACATCAAAGCAGTCGGGTATGTTTTTCTTTTTCCAAGTTTCCTTATTAAAGTAAAGTAAGGTTTTTCTACAATGTTTTATTATACGGATTGTTTTTTCAGGATTAACTGTGTGGCTTTTTGCAAATTCGATTGTTTTATTTAAAATATCTGCAGTTATGTCAAATTGAATAAATGTACAGTCATCTTTATTTTCGATTATGGAGAACCAATTTATAACATCAGTGGTATTTTTCCACTGTTGCAAATTTAATTTATATCTAAGAATGTTATTAATTTTTTCCAATTTAATTTTGCTTACATGTCCAATCTCACTTTTCGAAGTTTATAATATATATATATATATATATATATATATATATATATATATATATATATATTATATATATATATATATATATATATATATATATATATATATATATATATATATATATACATACATATATATATATATATATATATATATATAATATTTATATATATATATATATATACATATATATATTTATATATACAAATATATATAAATATATATATATATATATATATATATATATATATATATATATTTATAAATATATATATATTTATATGACAAATATTTTGATATTTCACGGGTCTATAAATTGAACAAACAAGTGTCTGCATTGCATTTTCAGAAATGAGTTCAATTTAAATACTTTCATTATCTTTATGTTCCAGACCATCTTGTCTAATCTATTTGATTTTTTTAGAAACATAGATTGTTGTTCCACCTCCTTACGTTTTTCCTTAAGAAAAAACTAAACTTTTTTTTTTTTTTTGAAAAAAATAACTTTTCATGAATAAAAACTTTAATTAAAGCTGAGCAATTACTCCAAAAATGCTGAGTAAAAGCCATTTTTTTATTCATCCGGCCTATACTCTCAA